GCGAAAAAAACTTAATTCTCTAAACGAATAGGGAAGGAATACATAGAAATTTTTCTGAAGCCTTTGTGATCTCGCCATGATATATCGATGAATATTATGAACGTACATAATAATGCAAGTGTGTAGTTAGAAGAGTAATAGAAAAAGCAAATTACCACAAAAACAAACGGAATCTGTCACAAGTTATGCTAATTGCCACATATCGCACACCATCTTCAAAAGGTATATGTTTTTGCAAAAATCAGTGCGAAGGATTTATCTCCATTGGAAAATTAAAAAAAACAATACGAGAGATTTACTCCAAATGAATGTTACTAATTCACGATTCTTTTAAACTAATCTGTCTTTATTACTGTTTATTATTAGCTAATTATTTTTGAGTTTATGATCGATTTTCTTTAGTAGAGTTTGGTCGAAAATTTTTAAGAGCTTCTAAAGAAACGTTTATAGTAAGGCTGTCGAATAGCAGTCATTTGTTTTAAATTGGTGAATCAAAGTGGATATAATGGTCCCTAATTTGAAAATTAAATTTCAGATTCGTTTATACACGAATGCCACGATTTCCGAGAGCTGGAAAAGTTTGGTGGCGAATTGAAAAAAGTAGAGCCTATCGCTACTGAAACTAAATAAATGTTAATATTCCAATGTAAGTACATCCGTTTGAAGAAAATCGAACCTACAACGCCTCTTAACGTCTTTCTAGGAGTCGCAAGAGCAAACATCCTTGGTACTTTCCATACAAATAAAAATTTGTAAATAACTGACCACGGAGATCATACATTAAAAATGTTCTATGTTTGTACATATGTATGAATGTATGTATGTATGTATGCAAATGTGCATGCATTTGCATACTTCCTATGCATATAAGAACATTGGTAAGTACGGATGCTAGCGGAAAATAGTTATCTAAAAATATATTATCAAAAAAAAAAAAGTTTGCATTTGCACGCACGTTTATTAATATAACGAAGTATCTCAAAATGTCCATTTTGTGGGCAAACGCAATCAAAGTTTTATCAATTCAAACAGTTGGTATACAAAAGGACAGATGGAAAGACACATATTTTCGCCATTTTTGGGAAGTTTAGTCATCCGTTAGGCTTAACATACTCTACGTACCAAGCTTATTAATTGCATAATGAAATCTCCAAAAACGTAAATTTTGAGTTAAGTACATCTATATATTATTAAACTGCGTTATGTACCTAAGGCGGCTGTGCGGAAACGGAAACTGATGTCTGCTTGAAAGCAACAGCGTTGGTAAATTGAAAATATGAATACTTACCTATAAATAAATGCTCAGGCACACGGAAACTTTCAAAGTTGATGATATTTTTATTTGTATTTTTCTATGTGTCTGCTACGTCTACACACACGGTGCCTTACGCTGAAATAGACACACAACCTTTTGCTAGGAAATAAGTTTACTTTTATGTAGCTATAGCTACATTTTATAACACAGCATTGTACGATGTGTGCTATCCAGCATAGTTATATATGTACATATGTACAAACATAGGTATTTAAGTACGTAGGTGGGGATTCTGCCATTGACAGTGTGTAACATCCGAAGCCGCAGCTTTCAAGTGCGTATCCATGCAAAGATGATGATGACTATGATGTGGTAGCACAGCATAAATAAAATATGATATGAATGTGAATAGCAACATTACTGCCTTGCGTTTATTGAGCTCGGACTAGGAAATGTTGATGTGAGTGGAATATACTTAAAACAAATAAAGATGACTTTTAAATTGTATGGATGCAATTTGCAAGCAGTGCATCAGATGGCAAACATCGAAATAACCTTTCGATTTATAAAGTGTTGAGTAGAATAATAAAAGCATGGATCCTTCTCCATCGTTTGAAAGCATTATTGAAGCTACAGCTCTTATCCGAAAGTGGTAAAGTCCTAGAGTCAGTTTAATGTAGGTATGAATGCTAAGTTTCGTTTTGGGACAGTTGGAATATTAAGCAAGGCTGGTGCTTGATGGCGTGCTGATAAGTTAATTTTTGGTTGAAACGGGTACTGAAAAGCAAGTCGATAGGTATTCGATTCAGGCAGAACCGCTTCCCTGTGCGCATCAACAAAGATCTATGAAAATCTTTTTACATAATATGTATTGCCTATATGTACAGTGGTGGAAGAAATAATAGAAACTTTTTATTCTGACGAGTTTTTCCTATATTCCATTTGTTTATTCGATGTTTAATATTTTTTTTTTTGTTATAAAAGTCCAGCGTATTATATAACAAGCAACATATGGTCAAAATTTTTGGGAACGCCGAACGACTGAAAAAAAAAAAAATATTTTTCTGAGTCACGCGTCAACTCTTGATATACTATTTTTTTATATATATGTATGTACATCTTAAGGTCAATTGACATCCAATATATGCGGTGCGCGTTTATTTCTCTTATGCCTCGCATGCGTTCAAAATGGAATATATAGTCAAGTATGGTAATAACGTTAAATACTGCATATTTCGGTTTGTAGATTTGTTATAAAGTTTTCCTTATGTGTAACGTTATATATAACTGACTTCCAAAAAATGTAACGTTAAAGACCACCTAAAAAAAACATTTAAAACTACAAAAGATAGAAAACAAGGCTCTGCATATAAAATTTAGCTTTTATTGGTTATTATCAACATAAATGAAAAACTTTCGGTTACTACACAACGTTTCAGAAATATAAACCGAAATATATCTACGTGCGGCGGTAACGTTAAAGGCAAACATTTTGACCATATACTTAAATCCACATTTCAAAGTTCGTACAGAATTATAAAAATTTAACAAATTTTACCAAAACTCTCCAAAAATTTCAAACTTTTTATTCAGAATTTTTAAAAAGTTTTAAGCAAAATAAAGTGTCAATTTCAACACGCTAGAAATAGCGTTGATTTTTAACAATTTATTTTTAGCTGAGGCTGTTGTGCATTCTCTTTTTATGAGGTAAATTATTAAAAATCATCGCGATTTCCAGCGTGTTGAAATTGGGACTTTGACCTACTAAAATTTAATGAACTATAGAACTGCATACCAAAAATTTATTTTAAAATTATTGAATAGAGAGTTAGAATTTTTTTGGGGATTTTAGTAAAATATGTTGAATTTTAATAATTATTGTACAAAAATTGAAATGTAGATTTACATATAAGGTACTTATTATATAATGCGCTTGACTTTTATAAAAATTATTAAACATCGAATAACCAAAATAAATATAGCCAAAACTGGGCAAAATAAAAAGTTTATTTTATTTCTTCCAACACTATATATAAATATGTACATACATATATCGATACATAGTATAAAATAAAGTCGAGATTTTTGTACGCTGTAATTTCGAAAACTACTGAACGGATAGTGACGAGATTTTCTCTAATATACTCTGTATCGACAAGAGAGTGACATTGTTTTACTTATAGAGAATTTAGCAATACGCGATTTTTCAGGCGATTTTTAGTTGAAAGCAACAATCGCCTGGTGTAGACGGCCTTTCAACTAATCGCTTTCAATGAAGTGGGTCGCCTGCCTTCTTTCGTTCAACTTTTGGTTCAACTAATCGCCTGTGAAAGTTGAATCATGTAAATTCCCTATTAAAATTTTAATAGGGTTGCCACCTATCTAAAAACTATAAGATCCGCACCGTTCGTTGGATTACAAAAGATGAGGTGTCAAATGAAAGGGATTGGCTTCTATAAAAGCACTATTTTTTCAATAGGGTTGCCACCTTTTAATAAAATTACTATTTTCAATCATAATAAGCGTAGGCACTGTCACTTTCAAACGAAAAGACTCAGCCTCTACATGTGCAATAACGTATTATTTTTCTGAGTAGGGTTGCCACCTATTAAAAAGTTAAAATATTTTCGTCGTTCGTAGGATTACAAAATGAGATACCAAATAAAAGAGTCTGTCCTTCGCATGTACAAAAGCTTTCATTTTTTTAATAGGGTTGCCACCTATTTAAAAACTACTATCTTCTATATATAGTAAAGGACCACTGAACGGATTTATACGAGATTTGTTAAGTATAATCTGTATCGATATGAATATTATCTTTTGTACTTTAAATTCCCATAGGGTTGCCACCTGTACAAAAAATTATTAGTTCCGCATTGTTCGTTGGATTACAAGATATGAGATGTCAGATAAAAGGGCTCGGCTTTTAGATGTTCAATAATGTATTACTTTTTGAGTAGGGTTGCCACTTTCTAAAAATCATAACATCTCCGTTTCTTGGACTAAATTTGAGATAGCAAGTGAAAGGATATGGCCTCTGCATGTGCAATAAGTTTTTTTATTTTTTGTTTGAGTGGGGTTGCCAACTATTTAAAAATTATGTATGTATAATACGCGAGGGCATTTTTTGTTAATGAAATTAGATTTGCAAAGTAGCTTCGATTTAAAAAAATGTGGTGGCAAAGGAAAAGGCTTGACCTTCCGATTTGCAGTAAGGTTTTATTTTTCGAAGAGGGTTGCCACCTGTGGAAAAATTAAAAAATATGGGCTGTTCGTTAGATTACAAGAAATGAGGTGTCAAATGAAAGAGCTTGGCCTCCAGATGTGCAATTATATATTATTTTTTAGTCGGGTTGCAATCTGTTTGGTTGTCAATCGCATCCTTTTTTATTATCTACACATTCAGCGCGCGGCGAAGCCTCGAGGCCGGCTAGTTATATCCATAAAATGAATAAAAATAAAAATACATGATCCTAAGAAACATAGATAAATTTAATGTAGGAAACAACAATAAAATGTGCACTGCATGCGTTTGAATTGGATATCAGTAGGAATTATACACATTTTTTGCATAAAAATCAGCTGACTTGTTATATCAAAATGAATTCCAGTGAAAAGCAATCACCAGTTGCCCCGAAGCTTATTTCATTTTTCTACCAACTGATAAACGTAATCACTTTGTAAATAAACATACCATACATACATATCACAATTCCTTGGCACTTTATCTAGATGGGACACTCACCGCCATGGTCTTCCACTTGGACTTGTGACATTTTGTTTGCCGCTTCCGGTTGCGCCGCCAATTTTTCTGCCTTATTTGATATTAAAACTCTTTATTTTATGTGATGTTAAATGCACAAAGCCTTTTGCTTTCAGTGCTCCAATAATTTATCGTCGTTGGTATTGTTAACACTTCTTGGTAACACACTTCTGTGCGATTCGAAAACACACAAAAATTTATTTGTAAACCAATCAATAGACAAACGTTGCTTCTATTATATTGAACGATTTTTAATTAATGAAATTTTAGCATGCGTGCAATTTACGCACCAACGCGGCTCCACTACGCGCTTTCAAGGTCGTTGCACTTTCACTTGGTCAACGTTCAGGAGATTTCCTGGTTTCTTGGCTTTATTTATTTGGGGAATAAGCGATTATTATTTATGTGGCAATCGGAGGTCGTTGCTTTATATTTTTAAACAACTTTTTGACGGCCAAGGTTTTATAACTTTCTTCTTTAATTGGTTAAAATGACCGCGACCACACAGCCAGCAGCAATAATGAACATCACAAATCAACTGAAAGCGCACCAAGATAAAGGAAATCCCCACTAGCGCTGCGACAATAGCCCCAGTCAGGTATTACTTTTGTTTTGACATTCGCAGAAAATTGTAAGAGTAGGGTTGCCAGACCCCACCAAAACTTTATTAAATCTGTGAATATGGCTAAAATCCGCTGGCCGTGAACCGGTTATTGACTGGAGTGGTTGTTTTTGTTGTTGTAGCTGAAACCCGCATGAACCAATTAGAATTGTGTAATTGGTTCATGTGAAACCCGTGAACACATTACCTAGGCTTTACACCGGACAATACCGTCATGACAATAGCGATCCATGCACAGTTTTTCACTAATACATGCATATTTTTCAATTCGAACAATTTGGACAACTAATAGGACTTTCGCACGAGCCGATTTCTCAGGCAACTTTTGCGTTCAACTCACGCAAGGTTGCACGAAAAAAAATAATTGGTTAAAAATATCAAAATATAAAAAAAAATCAAAATATTCGCCAGAAAAAGGCATTCTCATTGTTTAGCTTTGCATTCTACTTTTGGTTGAACGGCTTTTCAACTAATCGCTTCTCAACTAATCGCTTTGAACAAAGTTGGTCGCCAGCCAACATTTAGCCATACAACTTTCTTTTCGTGCAACCCTCCGTGAGTTGAACGCAAAATCGCCGCGTGCGAACACCTTTTAATACCAAAGAACGTAAATGAGAAACTACGCTAGCCTTGAAACGGTTTGATATTTTATGAACCGTTTCGGAACTTCTTCCATGCTACTAAAAAATGCAACCATTACAGCCTTTTCAACCACAACCAACTTCAACAACAGTTTCAAACGAGTAGTGTAGTAGCGAGTAGAAAATTCAAAATGGTCGCCCTGTTTTGTTGAGTGCGCGAAGAAACTTTCTGCTCCTGTTCAGAACTAATTATTTACTAATTGAAATAAGTAAAATTAAAAAATTCAAGTGAAAAACATTCTTCGATTTCCGTGCTTTCATTAAAAAGTGAAGTATTCGCGCAATTGCAACAAAACAGTGTGAAAAATCGGTGAGAAACTGTCCACTCGATATCGTGCGCAAAGTGTATGCAAAAAGAAAAGTGTTTCTCCATCTGCCTCTTAACATTTTTCGGTTCACAGCGACGGAAAAGCAAACAAGCGAAAAATTATTGAACGTATATGCGTTGAGTGAGCAAATAGCAACGGGCGGCGGACAAACAGCTTCATAGCTATTATAATAAGAGTGTAGCACTGGCGTTTTTAAAAAAAATATATATACATGGAAGAAATTCTCGGAATCCATGCGTTAATTCAACACTGCCATCGCTAGTGTTTAGGTACGAAGAGCATAAAAAGACCAGCAAAGAAATCGCGCTTAAACGAAGTACGGCTTTGTATCGAGAACAAAGCATTTAGAGAAAGATCACTTAACGAGGTAGCAGTGCAGCAGGAGGGAAGCGGTCAAGCATAAGAAAGCTTTTGGCACACCGCATTCCTCCTCGCCATTGGGCGGAGCAGTAATCTGTTAGCAGCTATGGATGATGAGTTTTAGCGACTATGATTATTGCCTACGATTTTCTTCTGGCAAGTGTGTGAACTACGTCATTGTTAGCACAACTAAATTTTCTGAAAGTACAAATAACAATAACTTAGTGAATGTTCATTTATTTAATTGTGCAATTGCCATATAGTCAATAAGCCAAGTAAACGCGTATACCCCAATCATCAATTGTGCTTCTACCTTCCCTCTCATGTAATACACCAACATTCATGGATATAACTAACGCGGCCGCATAGACAGCTGGTAGCTAATATTTCAATAAACGCAACAATTGCACAATTTGTCAAAATTAATGGTAAGTTTCTTTAAAATATAAACCATGAGTAATCAAAAAAAAAATGCCCAGCGCTTGTAAAACACTTTGATCCACTTGTATATTCGCATTTACATGCTTTTATACATACATACATGGACATATGTATTTGTTGGATATCTGTGCCAGTGTATGCATGGGCGCGTGCAACTCTAGTTTGCGATTGTCTATATGAATGTACTTTGGGGATTTTCACTCTCCTCATCGCATCAACCAGCCATTGCCAAAGTGAGGCCAGCCCACACCGCTTCTGAGTTGTAGCTAAACTCATGTACATACGTATGTACTTATGTATGGGATGATGTCTAGCTCAGCGTGTACAATTGCTGCTTGCTCAAAAGAGCGCGGCAGAACGCGGGTATACAAGTCGATACATTTTAGGGATATTAAGTCATTTTACAAGTTTTAGAAGAATATGTATGTTCCCCTTCTTTAGCCAAAGAAAAGTTTTGAAATTCAGTTACTATTATTAGTATATATATTAGATACGGTTTTATATACTTGTGACACTTAAACTACTTATATAGCAGTTGGGTTAGCATTAACGAATATGTACTTACTATAATGACTTAAAACATAGATACATATGGGTATTTCCTGGAAAGTGTCAACCAAGAGCAAAAAAATAAAATTTTGCCTGTGCAAAGTTTATAGATGCCAATCGATAACTACATATTTTGTCTTTCATCCACCAAAATATTGGACTAATTGGTCCATTCCACTTCAAGATATTTGCGTCTTTCCAACTACACTTTCAAAAACTTGTTTTTTTTTTCGGAGAAATCATACCTTCCAGAAAGCCTTCATAATTTTGGTATACGATTAAGAAGAATAGGAATTCTATACAAAAGTTTAGTATAGCTTATTTTCCGTACGGCTTACCACAAAAACAACGTAGAAATATATTAGCAACCGTCTTAAGTTAAATTACAAATTGTATAATTTTGGTTCATATTGTTTCTATGTAGATATATAGATATAGTACATACTTCTGCTTGTACGAAGAAGTGACTTCAACCAACGTTAAAATCAGGGCTGAGAGAGCAATGAAGTGGAGATCGAATTTGAAGAAAAATGAAGAAAAGTGGGAGGAATATAAAAAAACGACGAATCGAAAGAAAAACACAATAGAAGAATAGTTAAAAATGATCATATAATGGCAAAAAGCACTAAGATGCGACTAACGGGCAAAAAAAGATTCATTGAAAACAGGGTGGTCAACTCGTGGGGAATTCCCCGATTTGCGGGGAATTCGAAATCGGGGATTGCTACCCTGATTGAAACCATTCGCGCTCGCGCCAATTTTTTTTACTTTATTACGGTTTTGGAAAAGAAATAATGTCAATTGACTTTATTTCGCACCAGTGAGTGCGTTTAAATTCTCAAACGAAAAATTGTATCCCATTGGAAAAAATTTTAACGTCCGAACGGGAGCGTCCAAACAACTTTGCACAGTTTTTGAACCGATCCGTTAACAGATTCGCAGAATTTTCCAAGAATCATCAGTCATCTTTGATACAAGTCCCCTTTTTGGAACGTCCGAATCGCTATGCACTTACCATATAACATTTGTGGAAAATATTTTTATTGGTTTTAGATAGGTATTGATAATGACTACTCATGGCGAAAAATTTGTGCTCATAGCTACAGTTTTTATGATGAAAAAAGTGTCTCCAAACGTAACGTCCGTAACGCAGGAAACACCCATATGTACATATTATAATTTTATAAGTGTCTATAAATAGCTTGGGTATGAATTTCTCGTTTTAAGTTAAAATTTTAATATTGAGTTGCCTACTCTGCTCGGTTTTAGAATTTTTATTTTATTTTATCTTATCAACTCGTATTTGCTAAGCAAGCCATAACAAGCTTTTGCATTAAGTTACTTCAAAGGCCAATTGGTCAATTGAAAACTTAAGTACGTACACTTAATAATCAAAAATAATTGCAGTAGTTTTTAAGTAGTCACACACAAAATAAAAAAACTTGTCACTTGTTATTGTGTGTATGTATGTACATACATACATACATACATACATATGTGTGACATGTGCTCACTAAATTTTAAAATTTTCTGCTATTTATTGCAGCAATCAGTGCCTTAATCATCGCCACTCAATAAATATTATCTTAATCGAATTTCATGATAACGTTTACGTTTCGCAAAAGTCGAGTAAAACTTGAAAATTGACGACAAAATTGGTAAATGGTGCTTTTTTGAATACTTCTTGCAGTCTATACCAAGAGTCTAGCTGCTTATTCGATATTGCATAAGAATGTATGGACAATAGGGTGGTCCTAAATAAGTAATGGCGGAATTTTAATGCTCTCACCTCCTAGGATTGCTCTACATTGAAAAAACTATACCCCTCTTTTTTATTTTGAAATCAAAAAATATTTAGAGGTCGCTCGAAGCGCTCAAAGAGCTCAAAGTTTTCCATGTAGGTACATATTTTATATGAAAAAAAAACACTTTTCGTAGAAATGGTATGAAATACTTGAAAATCAATATTTTTTGATTGGAAAACTCTGGTTCTCTTCAGGAGACTTCTAATAACAATACCCAATTGTTTATTTAACCATTTGTTAACACTAAAGAAATGTTTTTTTTTTTATCTTTGCATTTCATTTTTTGTCATTTTCTGGGGGTTTTGGTGGCCCTATAAGATATAGTTACTATGAAAAACTGGTTAAATAAATAATTTTGTATTGGGAGAGATAAATATTGATTTTCAAAAATTCTATAGCATTTCTGAGAAAAGTATTTTTTCCCATATAAATTTACATGAAAAACTTTTAGCGCGTTGAGCGCCCTCTAAATATTTTTTGATTTTAAAATAAAAAAATAGCGATACATTTATTTGGTATAGAACAGGGGTGAGAGCATAAAAATTCCGACCTTACTTTTTCCACATGCATTTTTGGACCACCTTAATGTTATGTATTTTCAGTTACCCAAATTAGTAATACCCTAAAAATACGCGCTATCGCCACTTTAAAGCGTTTGTTAAATATTGTATTATGTACATACATACGTACATATGTATATAAAAATGTATTATGGATGAACATACATGTATATACATAACCACAATCCCACTTAACATTGAACGAACCTATAAAATTGATTGATTTTCCATTTTCAAAGGCAACTAAATTCTCAGGGCGATAAGTTTTGCTTTATTAACGTTGTAATTATTGAAAATAACGCGCGCATACAAACATTTCAATAAACTCTTATGTGCGTACATGTATGTACTTAGTATACTTTCAACGAGCACACAAATAAACACACACACACCCGTTATATTCGTAACTAATAATTTGTAGCATTTTGTTGAACGAAAAGTGGTGCTTGATAATTGATTTAAATTGTTCTCATACTTTGTGACATTTTATAGTAGCTCGATTGTTTATTGGTGCGTGCATATGTGTAATATGTAATTACATATGTATATATAAACATACAGTGCTCCATAAAAGTGTTCAATAGAGGTAAGAAAAAGTTGTGTGCATTCTCAAGCAGTTTGTTTTTAGGTTAGAGTAAACTGAAATTTGGTCTACTATAAAAGATTATATCTTATACCTATAGTAATGCCAGTTGCTGTCGAATTGACGCGATATGTTAAGGTTTTTCGATAAATTTCGATAATTTAATACCTATCGATAATTCAGTTAATTTCAAAAACACTTAAATCAGATACAACCAAATTCGATAAGTTTCATTAGCTCAAAAACTTTGTCCTCTCCTTTATATTTGTGCGAAGAGGGCAGTGAAAAGTCGGCATTTTTCGGTAGTAAAGAAAACGCCATTACTTTGAATTAGGTTTGCTATCCAACTTCATAAACGACTAAGTTTTTATTATAAGTATTTAAAATTAAATTTTTTTTCTGCACGATTTTACACATTTAATTAGAGCTTTACTTTTATGTTAGACTGTAGGCACACAATGCATATGTACATACATTTGTACATACAGCAGCGATCAATAAAATAGTAGCAAAATTCAAAATAATGTTTGCAACTCATGTTTATTTATAATTTTGATTTAAAATATAGTGCGGCATTTTCTTCCATATAACGTATAAAATTATATATATTTTTATATGGAAGAAAATGCGCAACGCCCTCCACGAAAAAAATACTAAAATTGATGAATGGGTTACAAAAATGTTCTAGAAATTCTGAATAAAATGTTTCAAATTTTGATGAAAACTTTTTGAAGTTTGATTAATTTTTGTGAACTTTGTGCAAACCTTGAAACTTTAATTTATGTGGCTTCTGTTTTAGATCGAACTATATTTTAAATGAAAATTTAAAAAAAGAAATAAATAAACATAAGTCGCAAACATCATTTTGAATTTCGTTACTATTTTATTGATCGCTGCTGTACATCTATAAACATTTTTTTTTTATAGCATACATGCATATGTATCTACATCATAAAAATGTACAATCATACAATAAAAAAGCAATAATAATTTAAAATACCAAATTTCAGAGCTATTAACCACTCTTCATCGCCATCGCCATTGCCTTCTCCATACGTACATACATACATACATATATACCTACATACTTGGGTACTCGTATGACAGCCTCATTCAATTATTAACATTATAAAATATTTAGTAGCCAACGTGATAAGGAGTATTGTAATTTGTGCACAAATTAACACCGAACATTGTGTGAATTAACTAAATGAATGTATGAATGTATGAATGTATGAATGAATGAATGATTGAGTGCGGCAAACTGCCAAAAATAACACAAAAAGCCAAATGTGAGAAAGCAAACAAGCACAAGCAACCAACCAGCGATCAACTTGCCAACGGAAGGCTGACAAGCCACAATTTGTTTTCAAAGTGTTGCTACACGACAATTTGAAATTCCATTTGGGAGTGCAACCACTAAAACACGTCATTTATTACAAACTAAATCTGCTTACAATGGCTTTTAACTGCGTACGACCATTTCCGCG